ACACACACACACACACACACACACACACACACACACACACACACACAAATACAGTCGAATTGAGAACCTCCTCTTTTCTGGAAGTCGGTAAAAAAGGACGTAATTTTCACTAATAATAATTCACTATAATAAAACATCTAGTAGGTATACTTCGGCATACCTGTTTGTTGGTATAAATCGGCGCGCGCTGATAATGCTGCACGAGCTGGTCAAGGGTCGGGAATTTACGCTGCCCGATGCAGTACATGGCACCCTCCACGTGCACTCGGAAGTGTTTGTTCCGACCAGGAGCTTTCAGCGACACACTGAAGTCACCCACCTGTAACATAGCGACACCAGGTTATTGAGAGGCGTTTCGTAGCATGACATTTACAATTTTGGATAATAGAAAAAGTTATGGTCCCAGTATTGCTCCTTGAGGAACTCCTATTTCAAGTCTTTTTTTTTAATAAAATATAAATGCTCATTTGACCTCCATCTCACCTGATGCAAAGTGATGGTGAGGTCGACGATGGAGCGTGCATACCTAAATAATGACTATTGACTCTCGCCTTGAAAAGGCCCAAGTTATAGGGTTAAGGAATAAGGTAGGCAGGGAATACCACTCCATATCCGTTTGCCGTATAAATGAGTAACGCATTTTTAGAACACCCACAACATAGGGGTGGAACCTCTATGTTGTGGGTGAGTCCCCCGATAATGGCGAAATTTAATCCTGCAATTCATCGCAGTTTCCGTGTACATCTTGTACAATACCGATACAACTTTAAAGCGGTGTTCAAGGCTCTGCAGCTTCGCTTCTACTAATTCTGAGTCACCTATAAGACTTTCGGCAGGGGGGTTAATAAATATTGGTGGATTAATAAAAATTTGGTTATAATAAATAAAGGTGACAGTATCCCAGGACGAACTCATTCACTAGGAGCTACACAGCTACTAAAAAAATCATCTTTTAAATACCCTGCAGAGCATTAACCTTTTGACCACCACTGACAAAAACTAGTTTCGTTCCCTAGACGCCAAGCCCACATAGTGACACATCAGTGACATGTCACAACATGTTCTGAATTTCCACTTTATATTAATTATTCAATTCTTCTAAGTCAAAGAAGAACATAACTGAATATAAAATGCAACTCTATAAATCCATATTTAACAAGAATTTACAAATTAGCATAAGGAATATCTTTATACTTATTTATTAATTTCAATTGAAAATTAAAGTTTCATTGACGGTTTAAGGCGTCACGGGCGTATCAGCCAAGTTGATGTAAGACGCTTTAAAGTGTCCACGACGGACAAATGGATAATGGACGAAAGTATAGTAACACGTAAACGCACGTTGGTCTCAGAGTCGCGAATGAGGAAGTCCCCGTCGTGTCCGTGCTGGTTGAGCAGCGCGTCGCAGTGCGTACGCGTGATGGCGCCGTAGTACCACGCGCGACCTGCCGCCCCCGACCCCGCCATAGGCCTCGCACCTCCCTCTGTCGTTTCACTGCAAACACATTTTCAGACCACTTCAATCTCATATATATCATACGCCTGTCTCTCACCAGGGTAGAAACCATGGACCCCCTTTTACTACGATCCCGACAAACGTCTTTCGCCATCTCCAGTCCCATCAACCACTAATTACAGTACTATATGAGAATATGACGCTCCGTAAGGGCATAGCAATGTCAGCGGAGAGGGTCTCACGCTGTTACATTGAAAGTACGTATGACAATATTATATTTCATTTATAGTCCAATTGTTTAGGTACTTAACTAAATGTAAACAATCTTGATACATCTTTTTATTGAAATATATACTTTACAAATCAGTAGGTATAAAAATAGGAATGCAATTTCACATGAAGCTAAATTATTTGTATTTTGTATTTGAAGGTAAGTAAAAATCATTATATAAATATATACTTCATTAAATAGATATCTCAAGATTGTTTACATTCAGTTAAGTACCTAAACAAATGGACTATAGTTATTTACATTTAAAATTACTCGTACATAAAGACGTATTAACGCGCGCATGCACAACATTTGAAATTTCTTTTCTTTTCAAACCTTACGAATTTCTATATGTGCTCGTTGCATATCTTTGTTTTTGGGTTTAACGACTTTTTGTCGTAGCGCCATCTGTGAGATATCTCTGGAAGTTTTTCTTCTTACAAACTAGTGGAGTAATTTCTCAAAAACATTGAAATTCATGGAAGCAAAACATCATAATATACATAATTAACTTAATACAACCATAGAGATTTATTTGAAAACGAAGATTGTTACATACCTGTAAGGCTGCGTTAGATAATCTGCCAACTCCTGCAGATAGTTGCGAGGCACAAGGCCGACTTGGCCGCGGGAGTCTCGCGCGCGGTACCACTCGGGGTCCGACGGCGGCCGTTCGATGATTTCCAGTCGATCGCCTTTTTCGAACGACAATTCCTGCTCGTTGTTCGACGTGAAGGAGTAGAGTGCCACCTGAGAACAGAATATGAATAATGTAACTTTTTCATTGAAAAAAAAAAACTGACCTCAAAAATTTGCATATCGAAAAAAGCCGTTTACTCGATTTCCATGGGATTCCCTCATCAGATTCTGCCTTCTTCGTGACAATGGGACTGTTATGGATTCCTTTGTACACTGTATACTTTTTTTTTGTTTTTCATGATAACGGTGATTTCTTGATTACATGTATTGTGTCAAGTGAAAAGTCGACTTTTATTTGCGGAAAATACAATTAGTAATTACTAATTGTATTTTCCGCAAAGGTTCGTCGGCATCAGGGACCATCTGAGAGTATACCCTTTCAAACAAAAAAGGAATTTTCAAAATCGGTCAACAATTGATAGAGAAATCGGTGAGTACACTGCCATGCCTATTTGAGGATTTTCCTCGATTTCCATGATATGTCCTCATCAGACTCTGATTTGGTGACAATGGGACCACCACGAGAGTGCACGCTTTGAAACAAAAAAAAATCATTATCAAAATCGATCCACAATTGACGAAGAAATCGGAAAACATACATAAAACGTACATACAGCCGAACGTATAACCTCCTCCTTTTTTTTAAGACGGTTAAAAAATTATGACATTGAACTAGCTTCTCTTTCTTCTTGATAAAGACTTCAGACAAGTTTGGGATGGTTGAATGATATCCAATGTCAACTTTAACGCCAACTTCATTTTTTTAACTGTTCAGTTTCGATATCGTTTTTTGTTTACTTTTTCAAAAAATACGTTTTTTTTGTTTTCGAATTTGGTTTCTTTATTTATTTATTTTTTCACAAAATTCGGGGAGCACAATACACATACATACATGCATACATATCATCACGCCTGTCTCCCACCGCGGTAGGCAGAGACTATGCACCTGACCTGAGCATATTACATTACGAGGGGCGTTCATTGTATTCTCGGTATAGGTATGAAATAATAGGCAAAAAATTCTAAATAAAATTTATTTTTCAATATAGTCTCCCATAGCCTCAATACACTTATCATATGATCGGGCAAATAACTTTCGATGCCCTCGAAAAAATATTTTTCCTCTTTGCCTGAAAAATGTTCAATAATTGCCTCCTTCAACTCTTCATCGTCGGAAAAATGCTTACCCCGAACTTCTTTTTTTAGGTTTGGGAACAAAAAGTAATCACCGGGGGCCAGGTCAGGGCTGTAGGGTGGATGAGTGATTTCTTCAAATCCACAATCCCTCACAGCAGCCTTGGCAACGCGCTCTGTGTGAACCGGCGCGTTGTCGTGAAGAAGCAAGACATCAGCGGTCAATTTTCCAGGTCTTTTTTCCTTTATAGCGTCCTTCAAATTGCGTAGGCTGTTTGCGTAAGCTGCGGTAGTAATACTTTGACCCATTTTTGTGTATTCGATCAGTAAAATTCCCTTAAAATCCCAAAACACTGTGGCCATGAGTTTTCCGGCGGACGGGCAGACTTTAAACTTCTTTGGTGGGTCTGTTCCTTTTTTATGCCACTGCATGGACTCTTGCTTACTCTCAGGATCATAGTGATGAATCCACGTTTCATCACCGGTGACAATGCGTTCAAAAATTCCACTCGGATTTTCGCTACAGAGCTCCAAAAACCCCTTACTGCACTCAACTCGAACTTGTTTCTGAAGCGGCGTGAGCATTCGCGGCACCCATCTTGCACTGACTTTTGAAAGATTCAGATGTTCATGAAGGATGGTGTGAATGGTACCCACGGATAGCTTAGTCTTTTCTGCTAATGTTTTCACTCTGATACGGGCATCTTCCAATACAAGTTTCTCGACAATTTTGACGTTTTCTTCAGAAGTGGCACTTACCGGCCCTCCAGCACGGGGGTCGTCTTCAATACTCTCTCTACCCCGTTTAAATTCACTAGACCACTTCTGAATAGTAGATAATGAACGAGCAGAATCTTGATAAACAGCCTCCATTCCTTCATGAATAACTTTATGAGTCTTTCCTTGTTTTGTACGGAATTTAATCACTGCGCGGTGCTCGATTTTTGTCAACATTGTGGCGTCTGTCATTGTAGTTGTCTTCTCGTATTGATAACTTGAATACTAATGATGACAATTACATGAAATTTTATATTTATACCCTTAAAGAGTGTCTTTAACTAATACGGTAATTAATTTACTCTTATCATTAGTTAATCACCCCGTAACCGAGAATACATTGAACGCCCTGGTATATTATAATATTAGTAAACAAATATGGCTGTTTACAAAACTAACAGAAAATGGCCAAAAAATATAGTTGGCGTAGTGTTCATTGGAGGTATCGATTTGGAGCCCTGTGTTTATTATTGTTCGTGAAAAAAGAGATAAAGAGATGGAATTACATATTACTTACTTTCTCAAACTCTTGTTAGAGAAATCGGTGAGTACAATTACTATCTTATAAAAAGTGATTATTCAGTAGATGGCAAAACTTTCTATTTATTTTAAATTTCTTATCGATGGCGTTAACTTGGATGCATTACTTTAAGAATAGGTAAAAACCAATGTGTAAATATGAAGGAAATGTGATGTGAAATCAGGCTGCAAAATTTGTATATATAATCCAGTTTTTGCATTTCAGTAACTGTTTTAAGATACGAGTTTGAGAAAGTAAGGCGACGATATATATAACCAGAAATAGGAACGAAATAAGGGCCATATATTCCTGGTAACACATTAGCGATACAGCTCTTATAAATATCAATTCTCGTTTGCACTTAAATATAGAGAGACCAACTACTGACCTGTATGTACCTCTTCGTATATTCCAATCAATATTCTGTATTTATTGCAATAAAGATAATATCTCTAACAATGCCGTGCTGTTCTGTTCGGTTGTGTAGGAAAAACAACAAAACGTCTAATTACAAAACAAACGGAATCACATTTCATCGGTAATTAAATATGTAATTTTGCAATTTTCGTCCATTATAGCAAAGCTCAAGTTAACTGGTCGATTTGAAGTGAAACAGTTGACGACACCCGTCAATTGTTTCGAACTCGAGCTAGCCAATCGGAGCAGCCAATCGGAGCGCAGCTGTCACAGTAATGATATGGCAGAATAGTTTTCAAACAAATTAAATGACATTTCGTCTGTATTTCTGGTTATATACTCGATGATATAACATTACCACAAAGCATATATAAGATTATTGTTTTGACACCCTCAGTGGTCGAGTGGCTTTCACACCGGTTTTCATGGTGTCGCCATCTCTGAGGTCACAGATCCGATCTCCGGCCGGGCCAATGTAAAAAACTAGCTGTTCTATATTGTCTCGGGTCTGGATGTTTATGGTACCGATGTTGAAGGGTAAGGGTGCTGGTGAAATTACAGGCACATGAGACATGTCAACATATGTCTCACGGTGACAGGCGCAGTGGCAGTGTTCCTCAGATCTTTGCAATTTAAAGCTCTGAGTGACACTGCAACTGTTATGGACAGGGGTACAGTTTACCACCAGGCACACTGCTTGTTCGTCCCATCACTTGATATTATAAAAAAACAAACTTACTTCAGGATCAGAGCAACGTATGGGATGTTGTCTAATATTTAATTTAATAATTTGTATTATAATTTATTAAATTTGAAATTTTGTAACGAAATTGTACATAACATAATAATTCTTATGTCAGTTGAGTAACGTACAAAGTAACACCGTAGCTGCGGGAATTCCCGCGACTGTGCGAGATTTCTCCGAAAGAAACGCGACCTGGTTTTAACTCGTATCAGTTCTTTTATGAGTCAGTTTATGTCAGTTGTGTAACATACTAGTTTTGTACCTTACACAATTGACATACTGTTCATTGTACAATGGCAATATAAATTGAGCCTGAAACATGAATTTATAAGTTAATAAGGTCAAAGTTATAAAGAATTTTATAAGATTACAGTGATGAAAAAGTAATACAAGAAAGTTGTAATAAAGAGAGAGAGTGGATTGTTATTAGAATTATATTATTATTAGTAGCAGTAGAATTTCTTGTGAAATAGTTCGCCCAGTGCCGTACTGCTACCCTACCTATTTCTGCCGCGAAGCAGTAATGCTTACATTACTGCGTTACGGTTTTGAAAAGTGCTGGTGGAATTACAAGCACGTGGGACAACGGTCAACGTGTGTCAACTTATCGACCACGAAACTAAATATTGTCGTAACTCAAAATTGTGGAATTAAAAGGACAGTATTCAAAAGTTAAAAAAAATAAAATAAAGAATGACACCAATATATATTGTGGAAATTTGAAATGTCGTAAGGAATATTTTGTCGTAATGGAAAATGTTCCTTACTACAACATATCGCTTACGACATTTCAAAATTCGATACATCGACGAAATCATTACCCTTACATCGACGATGGAAATTTGAAATGTCGTAAGGTCATTTCCCTTACGGCATTTCAAATTTCCACCATCTATATATATAATCTCATTTAAAATGAATAATGAAGCATTATGCATAAATAATAATAACCACATTATTCCCAATGAGATTAATTCAATATTTTTTTTATTTTCAAATTGTGTTTTCTCAATACCGTTTTGAGTTGCGACATTTGGTTTCAAGTGCGTTATGTCTCAGGGTGACAGGCGCAGCGGCAATGCCCTTGAGATCGTTGTGATTTAAAGCTCCGAGTCGCACTGCAACTGTTATGGATAGGCGTGACGCTTACCACCTGGCGCACGACTTGTTCGTCCCGTCATAACGTATCATAAAAAAATAATAATAGTGATGCTACTTACGACAATATCGAGAACGTTTTCAGCCATGGCATACGTATGCACAGGGTCCTCGTTGTCGCCTTCTTCACTCGTGTAGTTCGATGGGAACCTGTGGCGATAAAAAAGTCGGTCCTGTAGAAGCCTGTTTAAAAAACACCATATAATGACAGCATAATCACACTACATTATAGTAGTTTAAATTAGAAACGTTTTTTACCCGACAAAAAACTTCTTTTGTTGGGTAATGATATTCTACAATGAAAAGTATTTTCTTTCCTTAATTATTCCTTGACATTATATTTTAAGTTGTAATATTGTGACATTGATACAATATGAAATAAATTATTGTATATTTTCTTTGCCTCCATAACATTAACAAACTTTAGTTGACATGTAATGATTTGATATAAAAATAATACAAAATAACATGTCTTTTCGACTGACTTCAAAAAAAAAATAGGTTCTCAATGCGATTGTATTTTTTTGCTTATGTTACGCGATTACGGCGACATTTGTGAACCGATTGAAAACCGTTGGAAAGGGGTTAACTCAGTAGTGGTTCTATTAAAATTTGAAGAATATAATCCACATCTAAGGGTGGCAAATTAGAGGATGAATGCGTTTTATTGTATTTCACCCACTTTCTATTCACCGATTCCAATAAAACTTGGCAAATAGATGTAATTTCACAAACTTTTAAGGACAGATTTTTTTTATAGAAAACTTTATTAAGTTTGTTATATTATATAGTATAATTATTAACTGCAAAAGACAACTGTTTTCATAGGTGTATATGTAGATGTTTTCTTCTTATGCCACCTTTTGCCACTAATACTACACAGTAATCAGTTACGTACCACCCAGTGTGACCTTGGTACTGTCCTCTCCACCAGCCATCGTTGCTCTTCTCCAATATCAAAATCCTGGTGCCCTTTGTGAGGGATAGCTCATCAGGCTGTTGAGCCTGGTAATTGTACTTGACGACGGCGGTGCCGAGCGCTTCGGTGGGCTCCACACGGCGCGCGCCTGGGGAGTCCGGTCCGCCGCCGCGGACAGGCGAACTATTAGAAGGCAGTGTCTTCGAACCGGAGCCTTTCTTCACTTTCTTTTTAATACTATAACAAAAATAAAACAAAGTTTTAACATTCCACTTTACGTTGAGAATTTTATCTATGATTAAAATAGATTACAATTGGGACATTAGTGTTAACATAGATAAATGAGGTATGAGGTATGGTCAATAAAGCAAAATCAGTAATTACGGCCTCCATGGTTGAGTGGCTTGCACACCGGTTTTCATGGTGTCGCCATCTCTGACTGAGGTCCCGGGTTCGATCCCCGGCCGGGTCAGTGTAGAAAACTAACTATTCTATATTGTCCCAGGTCTGGGTGTTTATGGTACCGTCGTTGTTTCCGATTTCCATAACACAAGTGCTTTAGCTACTTACTTTGGGATCAGACCAACATATGTGATGTTGTCTAATATATATTTATTTATTTTACACAAAATTTTATATTTAACTGTGGATAAGCTGAGTTTGTGGTCAGTCACTCACCTGTTAACCGAAAATGAATCTATCTCATACATATTTGAGTACACTGTAGCGTTTTTAAATCAATTTTATATTTATATTTTATATTATATTTATAAGAAGATATCAGTTATTTCATAAAGGTATTTATTGCTTTACATATAACAAGTCAATGCAAATGACATGAACTAATTACTCATGAAGTAATTCAGTATAGACATTGATTTGTTTGTGACACTTAAATTCCTTAGACACCTATTTCCCTATATTGTAAAGTCATGAGTCAATGAACTGAATAATCGGGATATTGTCTGGTTTTCTTAATTCAATTTAATTAATACTTTATTACAACTACATAACAATTATGAAACATACAAGGAAATAAAAAGCAAAACAGTCAGTGTGAATCAGTCTAGATTCTAATTGAACAAACCTGTCTAGGTGACAAGAAAGTTGCTTGCATAACCTGGTCTCTAAACATGAATTTTATTAAAGATTTCTAAATACATTTATTAGGTACTTAATATGATAATACATATTTTATGTGATCAATGGACATAACTTTTCTATCTTGTTTATGCTGATTCACTTTTTTATTATTATTGTATTCCCCACTGATAAGATGCAGTGCCTAAAATTGATCAACCAAAAACCTAATAATTAAAACGCTGGGTTCACTCTAAGCAAAACAAGATTTATCATGATTTCTCAGACAATAAGATAAATATAAGCAAGTCAAAACAAAAGCAATATGATTGCTAACAAGAAAAAGGGAAAACAACAGATAAAAACAGAAAGTCAATGACTCTTGGTAAATTGCAAGTTTCATAATATCAATGAACTAAGGTGCTTTCCTAACAAAATAGTGACAGCTGGGAATTGTGTTTTCTATTATAGACATTTGGTCCATGATCTACTCTAGATCAAAGGACCTATATTAGTTAGTGGTAAATAGAATTACACCACTTTTTAGAGACCAGAGACTGATCTTCCAATAAACAAAGAAAATGTCTCCTGATTCAAATAATTGTTGTGATGTTTACAAACACCCAGCGAACTAAAATAGAATAAACAGTAAAATTCATTACCGAGCTGTCCCAATTTAGTGTGCAATGCAAGAACCCTGACTCTTTTAACTACTGGGACCACTACTAAGGTACGCTCTTTCCAACAAAAACAGAATCACCAAAATCGGTTCACAAATTACCACAAGTTATCGCGTAACATACATATACAAAAAAACATAAAATAGAATTGAGAACCTCCTCCTTTTTTGAAGTCAGTTAAAAATGTAAAATATTGCAACAAATTTCATTGAGAATTAAACACCAAGCCTTCCTTTTGTTACAATAATGACATGATAACAATGGTCCGGTATATGGTTTGTCAGTTTTGTACCCCAAATAAAAGATACATTTTAAAAACCATCTGCCTGATGCACTGGATGTTTTTAAGATAAACTGCTATTCTAGAAAGCTATCAATATAATATACAAACCTGTCAAACAATGATGGTTTCTCTTTCTTAACATAATTACTGGGTACGTAACCTGACTGGCTACGAGCGTTCTGAACTCTCCACCAGTGTTTTGAATCGTCCAATAAGAGGTAGCGTTCATTTTTACGTAGATCCAGTTCCTGGGCACCTTGAGCTGCATAGTCATATTTTGCTACTACGTAGCATACGTCATCCTGGAAATGGATTTTGGACTTAAAAGTTACTTCATAGAGGGTAATTTAAGTACTTAATGAAGATCTCTTATTCAGTGCACTTTTCAGAAATATAACGTCAGAATTGCTGAAACATTGTCCTATTATGTCCTGGGGGTCTACTCTCATTTTCTATCCGACATCTGTCTGAAAAAATAACTATCAAATAAGTAATACTCGACCAAATTAAAAGATGCATGATGCGAGTGACGCTTCATACTTGACGTTGTCTTTTAATTTGGCCGAATATTCCTAACCCTGATGTGGGAGGTCACCATGTACACTGCATATGACTTTGAGAATACTATGTAATATTTTTATTAGCTAAAATAGTTTTATCAGTTTTGTTTTATTGCTTTGTGAATTTTTTTATAAGGAATTGTTAATATGATACTTTTTACATATTATATATTTATATTATTTGTATTATATTATATATTTTTTTAAGTATTATACATAGAATAACAACAATATATGTATATTTATATCAGATTGATAAAATATGTATTAAGAAAGTTAACTAATTCCTTACATGACTAAATAGAAAGTCAGCTGGAAGTCTCTAGTTATAAAAATTAACAAGTTAATTAACATCTGCTCACTAATTTAAATGCTTGTTCAGCTTGGGAATAGAATGTTAACTTCCCATAACACTGAGTATTATGTGTAAAGAGCTTAGACAATGAACTAAGGACAAGAAGTGTAGGTAGGTACAAGGTATTGAGTGAAAGGTGATCAAGGTTTGAAGGTGTAGACACCTGAGCGTTCTTCCCGTGTCTGGTGTTGGCCATGGCGTGCGGCGCCGGCAGCGGCTTGTTCGCCCACACCGATTCAGCGGCGCGCACCGACCGAGTTTCCAACATGACACTCCGCGCCTGCCGGCCGCAGGAGGCTGCTCCTCAGCCTCACCACCTCATCATCACCGCACTGCGCTACCGACACACTGTACACAATCGATCACCCCCTTTATCACCACAAACAACACCAAAATTCACCCAATTGTTTATTCCACGACGGGCCAAAACCGATCGAAAGCCACAGCTCAAAGAAACAAGTCCAATGAAACCACCCCCTTAAACTGACTCCTGGGGAATAGTTATGAAAAAACTTATGTTATTATCTATCCACTTGTCCTAAATAACAAGTTCCCACAAGAATATCCCCTTAATAAGTTAAAAATTGTAGATTTTTGTAAAAAATTCACAATAATCTCAGTGGGGCTGCAACGAATCCATAGACAAATCGTAACTTTTTTGCAGAATTCATCAATCAGGCATAGACAAACGCAAAAGAAAAGTTTACATTTCGCAACGTTTCTTCTTGAAGACGAAGATTTAGAAAAAAAAATTAGAAAATTTACAAAATCATTAAAAATTATATGCTTCGAATTGAAGCTGAGATTTTTTATTACAACCTTTGTAAGTCAATGTTACAACCACATAGTTTTAATCATTATACAGCATTTAGATCGTTCCAAAACTGCGTAAACAGACACGTTATTATTTGAGTATTGCCAAAACAGCGCAAAATATTTCTACTCCGTAGATTTGCATACACCATGCAGACTTGTGCCTGAGCCTTAGCGGGAGCAATCCTAGTTAGGTAGTTCAATCGGTCAACTGAACTAGGTTGGTCTTCTAGTTCATTTAGTTCATCTAGTTCCTTAGATAGTTAGTTCGTCTTGTCCTTGCTCGGACATTGAACGAATGCTCAAGACTAGTAATTTTATTCACATGAACTACTACGGACTTCTAATATTACGAGGTCAATACTACACTGTACTAAATATTTAAAAATACAATTTGTATGGAATCGGTACAATTTGATTTTCTTTCATATTTTACAGGTTTAAAGACTGTCATTCTAACTAAATATCCTTTTTTTACAAAATAAGAATTTTAGTTAGAATGGTGTGTTTAAAAATCAATATTTAGGTGCAACAATTTCATATACTCGTACACGTAGGTTGATATTATACATAAAGATACGTGCCAAAAAATATTACTTTTATTGCTTGTATATATACATAATATAGATACGTATTAGAGACTTAGAACGAGCTGGGAACGTTCAATCGTGCATCCCACTCGAACTTGTACTAAAAGTAGTGAAATATCGCAATTTGTCCCACTCGCACCGTTCCTACTGTTTAAAAGATAGGTGAACTATCAACGCAAACAGTTCTTAGTTCGTTCTGAACTAAAAAGAACGATTAACTATTAAAACCGTGCAAGACGAACTAGTTCATGCCGGTCAGTGTAGGGAATATATTCCTAATAGTTCGTAGTTCATATAGTATACAAGCTTAAACTGCATTTGCATTGCACATATCACGTCTATATTCAATTGAGGTAGCCAGAAAATACCAATATGCGTTCATCATCATCAACATGCTGGGCATGGGTTTCTCATGTCTGCCACGCTGGCCTAATGCATGCATTCCACAAACCCAAACCCAACCCAGGATTATTGGAGATTTCATATGTTTTCACAAGGACAGTGTACCTTCTTCGAAATTCAAGTTTGATTATGATGTTTTCATTCACAGTTAGCAGATATATTCTTATTAAACATTCGCAAATGTTACAAACATTTGCGAATGTTTATAACTTAGAAATTAAAGTCATACATTCACAGAGATTCGAACCATCGACATCTCAATTTAGGAGCAACTTTTCCTACTGGGCTATCGCCGCCTCGATAAAAAATCTACAACACAAAAGTATGTATGGTATTTAACTTTCCTAGATTTATCTATATTTTTTCACGTTTTTGTTATATACGTACTACGGTGTTTCATTTTTCCATAGATGTGACTTTCATGTGACTTTGCTTACGCGCCGAGTCTCAGTGTTATATAAGATATATACACTGAATTTCAAGAAGACTGGATAATATTTAGGGGTTGCACACTTTAGCTTTGGTGACTTTTATTTCATACTAGTGAAATTTCGAATATTGATGTGCTTTGCACTAATGTGCTAAATTTTAAATAAGTTAACGTGTTCGACTTAACGGAATTTACCCTAAGGATGCATAACTGAAATATCATTAAACAATGTCAATATTCTAAAATTGGGTTACGGGTTTTTATGATATCTCAAAAAATTATTTTGTCACTTAGCCGTCCACTTAGTTAGTGAACGGAAAATCTAGGTATCACACGACACTACAATCTGACAAAGGCGATATGAAGTTAACCTCAACGGTATAAAGTGGACGGCCTCCGTGATCCAATAGCTTGCACACCGGTTTTCATGGTGTTGTCATCCCTGAGTTCCCGGTTCCATCTCCGGCCGAGTCTGTGTAGAAAAACTAACTAGCCAAGCAGTAATGCTCACTTTACTGCTTTGCGGCAGAAATAGGTAAGGTGACAGTACTTCCCTGGACGAACTCATTCACAAGGAGCTATACTGTTACTGAAGCATAAATTGCCATGTACCTACTCACTGTGCGTACTTTAAAATGGGAACCCTAATAGGAATTTGGCTACTAGAATAGGTACTTTGTAGTAAGTTTTTAGGATCTCGGACTCCTCAAAGGAATAGGATTGGATAACATCAGACAACAACACATATGTCGCACTGATCCCAAAGTAAGTAACTAAAGCACTTATGTTATGAAAATCAGAAACAAAGACGCTGTCACAAACACCCAGATCTGCGTACCAGGAGGTTGTACGATTTTACAATCAGAATTTCAGGGATTCTGCATCAAGCAATATGGATGGCAAAGGCAATATATGCACTTAAAATTGTCCTCTACACGAAACGGTTGAATATATGTACCTCAACGTGAATTGAAAAGAATGAAATGAGTAGCACATTTTGTCAGCCTCATATACCTACGTTAAATTTTGCCACGAGACGATTGTAAGTCGATGGGTTCCAAATAATGTTTTATATAACCTACAACTTCTGAGCACTTCAAAATCCAATTTCTAGGAGACACTTTCTTCTGACAGAAACAAACGTAAGATTGTTTGTTTTGGACGAGCGTATTATTCAGGTTGTTATGGAAAGTATAGTTAAAAATTTAGAAACCAAACATACAAATAAAAAGGAAATGGAAAAAACTTGAGCCAACAAGGAAACAAAGACTATTTGAATTGTTTGAGATCCTCGATGTGACAGAATACTTGCAGTGAATCCCTTAGAAGCCATGTGAACAGTATTAAGGTCGTCAACAGTACGACAGAAAGAGCTTGAGATATAGAAAGAAATTGCTCTGATAAAATAGTTTAATGAATCGGTCATTGAGGAACAACAAAAACAAAATTCTTCTTGTGGATAGCAGAATATCACAGAAAAGTTGTCACAAAGTGAACATTAGAAGGGATTGTATCGTTCAAAATAAAATTGCAGATACGTACATAGGGCTTGTCAACTTATGTCTTAGTGTGCTGTCTTATGGTGGGCGCAGTGTTAGTGCCCCTCAGAACTTTGCGATTTAAAGCTCTGAATGACATTGCAATTGTTAATTGTTGTCCCTGGTGTCCCTTACCACCAGGCGCACGACATGTTAATCCCGACACTTGGTACCACATAAAAAAAAGTTGATTAATATTGTGGCGGCGTTAGACGCCGCCTATTATCACCGGCTGGCTGTGGCAGTCTTTTTGGACGAGAGTGGCCAAGGAGAGTGTCACACTTGCCGAAAATGTTTGACAGTTTTTAGTTACGTAAATCGTCATGTCAGCGATTGCAAATTGTTTGTCCGGTTTGATAAAAAGCTATTTGTAAAAACCACGAAACATTATAATTATATCGCCATTCACGAAGTCGAGGCCGTTTTATTGTTCGTTAGGGGAGCGATAAATTCCCCAAAATATATTATATTTATTTTGCGTATTAATCTTGGTCTTATTTTAATATAATTTTAATTTCGTGATTTGTAGTTTTCTCAATAAAAATTATTAACTCTGAGAAATCGTATTTTTGCCTACTTTTACAGAAGTGATCAAAGTGTGCAACCTCTAAATATTAGTCAATCTTCTTCAAATTTAGCATATATGTGTTTTACATCGCTGAGACTCAGGACGTAAGCAAAGTCTGCAAAAATAAAACATTTTATTTTTTGCCTAGCAAAATGAAACACCATAATACCTACTTTACACATAACGGTATGAAAAGGTAACCGAAAGTCATCCAGCTAATCTTTCGAAAGTTTCGAGTTTCGTATGGGTAAATTACAAGTGACGTGTACTACAACTGTGATTGATTCCATTCCATATAAGTATCATATTAGTAGCTAAAATACTGTTGATACCACTCTGGGGACTCAATCGTCGAGCATAATTAAATTGGTAGAAAAATAGGATATTTGTATGATCACTCTTAACTTAGACTACTACCATTTATTATCTGTGTTCTGTTCTGTGATTATCTGTTACGTTCGCTGCGCTGACATTTTCTGTGCTTCGTGTTGGTTGCGTTTGTTGATGCGTTTTCGTGAAAATTAATTATCAAATGGGCTCTGTTGTTACGGTGTAGTACTCATCATTGGGAATGTCGGACTCGGAGGGCAGTAATTATTCGGGGAGTGGGTCAGAGGCGGGTAGCGTAATCTCGCGGCGGAGTGTGGTTTCGAACCGTTCCGGGCCCTCTCGGTCTGTCTCTCGTTCGCGGTCGCGGTCTGTGAGCCGGAGCCCCTCGCGGAGTCCCTCAAGGTCCCGTTCGAGATCCAAATCGAAATCCCGCTCTCGTTCTCGATCCAGGTAAACTACAAATTTACTTTAAAATTACATCTACGAGCCCTTACATCACCAGTAATGCAAATTTGCTTGTATTTGTTACCAAAACGTTATATACCTACTTAATCTAATTAATTGTACATCAGCGTCTTTCATTACGTAATATTTTATAGGAATAAGATTGTAAATGACATATTTTTTTTATTCCAAAATATTTTTTCCTATTTTATTAAGCGGTGTATTGTTTATCGTAGGAGCCGTTCGGCAGCTTCCGACGCTAGCCGCCGCGATGATGAGGCACAGGAAGCGTCTGGGGATGAGGAAGTCGAAGTAAGATTTGATATAAATACACAACTACTGTCATCATTAAGGATGCTGATTTAAAATTTATGTTGAATGTCATGCTTGCTTTATTCTCTTAAATACTGAGTGAAAATGCGTAAATTAGACTGGTTGCAAATAGTAAGGAGATCTATCATAAGCTATGGTCAGAAAAAGGTGAGCCACATACATAGATACATGTATAGATATAGCTACAACGAGCAACATAGAGTTGTTAAAACCATCAAATATTAATTAATTACTGTTTTCGACGTAACAGTATTCTAGCAGTATTATAGAGTAACATTATTCTAAAAGCAATTTTTCGTGTAAGTGAATTATTGTTATAATTCTTATGAGAAATAAATATTTCTTAAACCTCAAACCTCTTGCTTAAATTTATTATTAAAGTGATATAGCGTCTGTAAGGGGTTTTATTTAAGTAATTAAAATGCTAAGTAAATGTGGTGTAGAATATATTAAACATGTTAATGTATATAGGTTTAATATATGTTACACCACATTTACTTCTTCGCCTGCAAAATTACTTAGAAATGATATATGAGGTATTTGCTTTAAGATGACAATATTGATGAAAATGATATATTAGTTTTATATTGTATGTTTTTTTAGTTTATAGTTTTTGTTCCCCAAATGAATGTTGCTTTTCAAATGATCTAGCTTTATTAGTGGTAATCTATTGATTAGGCCCAATCTTAGGTCTAATTATCTACCAAAGTGGAATAGAGAAAAGCTATGTTTTCTTTGACCAGTAATAGTCTGTTTTGATGGTATCTCTAATTTCATTTAATTGAAATATATTCTGGAACACAGCTCTTTTCAACCCTATTTGGATAAGCAATAGGTTTAGGCCCTTTATCAAAATGTACTGTGTCATATATGGACTGTATGAAATGTATGTGAAGTAAACTGATTTTGCCAACCCTGAAGGGTGTTATGGTAATTGTAATATATGATGTCTCTTGTCCTATTTAGCTATTGATGTGTGGGAAATTTCAGCTGGTGATATGCTATAAGAATGATAACAAAAAAGTGATCTCATACAATTTTCTAATTTTGTATGGGAACCAAAAAATTCTTATTGTAATTTTAAAATTTCTCTTACTTAAGTTTTTGTTCTTGTGAATGTGGGCACAGGCTGAAATAACTTGCTTAAGCATTACTATTCTCAGCTACCATCCATGTCTCATCAATAATAATAAAGTTTGACGTCTACTATAAGTTAAATAATTTTTCCCACATCTTCTTCACACTTCACACTGTCTTCACAACGGTATAATAGAAAATTACGCAAATAATATATTATGTGTATATGAACAGGATGAACAAGAGCCAGAAGGTGAAGATCTTGTGGACTCCGAAGAGTATGATGAAGACGAAGATGAGGCAAGACACCGGAAGAAGCGCAAGAAGGAGAGTCGATATGGAGGATTCATTATTGACGAGGCTGAGGTAAGTTTTATATGTAGATGTTTTATATTTCTTTGCTGTACTTTTGATAACCCTGAAGTATATTAGCAGTTGAATTAAAACTTGCGAATATTATTTTTTGTTATAGGTTGATGACGAAGTAGACGAAGATGACGAATGGGAAGAAGGAGCCCAAGAGATGGGCATCGTCGGCAATGAGGTTGACGAAATCGGGCCTACAGCTCGTGAAATTGAAGGCCGTCGTCGGGGCACTAACCTTTGGGACTCACAGAAAGAGGAAGAAATTGCGGAGTACCTCAGACACAAGTATGCTGATGAATCTGTAGCTCTAAGACACTTTGGTGAAGGTGGAGAAGAGATGTCAGATGAAATTACACAACAGACTCTTTTACCAGGCATCAAAGATCCCAATTTGTGGATGGTCAAATGCAGAATAGGTGAAGAAAAAGCAACTGTTCTCCTCCTCATGAGGAAGTTCATTGCTTACCAATTCTCTGAAGAACCATTCCAGATCAAATCTGTAGTAGCACCTGAAGGCGTTAAAGGATACATTTATATTGAAGCATATAAACAAACACATGTCAAAGCCATTATAAACAATATTGGTACTCTTAGAATGGGCAACTGGAAACAAGACATGGTGCCGATAAAAGAAATGACTGATGTACTAAGAGTTGTCAAAGAACAGTCTGGACTAAAGCCAAAACAATGGGTCAGATTAAAGAGAGGTCTCTACAAAGACGACATAGCTCAAGTTGACTATGTTGATTTAGCACAGAATCAGGTACATTTGAAATTACTTCCTAGAATAGATTATACTAGGCTCAGAGGGGCTTTGAGAACAGTTCAGAGTGAAAACGATGCTGCAAAGCGTAAGAAGAAGCGCCGTCCGCCAGCGAAACCTTTCGACCCAGAAGCTATTCGAGCGATTGGAGGCGAAGTCACATCTGACGGTGACTTTTTGATATTTGAAGGTAACAGATATTCAAGAAAAGGTTTTCTATATAAGAATTTCACTATGTCAGCTATCTTAGCTGAGGGCGTTAAACCAACTCTAACTGAATTAGAAAGGTTTGAAGAACAACCTGAAGGAATCGACATCGAATTAGCAGCACCAGCAAAGGATGACCCAACAAGCTTACACTCATTCTCCATGGGAGATAATGTGGAAGTGTGCTCAGGTGATTTGGCTAACTTGCAGGCAAGAATTATTGCAATCGACGGGTCAATGATCACAGTGATGCCGAAGCACGACGCTCTGAAAGATCCTTTAGTATTCAAACCTAATGAATTGAGAAAATACTTTAAGCAAGGAGACCACGTCAAAGTATTAGCTGGTCGTTACGAAGGAGACACAGGATTGATTGTCAGAGTAGAACCGCATAGAGTTGTTTTAGTATCAGATTTGACAATGCATGAACTGGAGGTGTTACCAAGAGATCTTCAGCTGTGCTCAGATATGGCAACTGGCGTGGACTCCCTGGGTCAGTTCCAATGGGGAGACATGGTTCAGCTGGACCCACAAACTGTTGGGGTCATAGTAAGATTGGAAAAAGAGAACTTCCACGTTCTCGGCATGCAAGGTAAAGTTATAGAGTGCAAACCTCAAGCATTGCAAAAGAGACGTGACCATCGCTTCACGATGGCTCTTGACTCAGAACAGAACACAATACAGAAAAAAGACATCGTAAAAGTGATAGACGGACCGCACGCTGGGCGTAACGGCGAAATTAAGCACCTGTACAGAAATTTTGCCTTCCTGCAATCCAGAATGTACCTTGACAACGGAGGTATTTTTGTCTGCAAGACGCGGCATTTGCAACTCGCTGGTGGCAATAAAAATCCCTCGACTAACAACAATTTATCTCTCGGATTCATGTCGCCAAGAATACAGTCTCCTATGCACCCGTCCGGCCGCGGTGGTGCCACTCCTCGAGGCGAGCGTGGCGGTCGAGGCGGTGGTCGCGGTGGTGCAACACGCGATCGAGAACTCATTAGTAAGACAATCAAGATCACGGGTGGGCCATACAAAGGGAACGTTGGTATTGTCAAAGACGCCACAGGAAGCACTGCTCGCGTGGAACTCCACTCGACGTGTCAAACTATATCCGTGGATCGTAGCCACATCGCGGCAGTCGGAGCCCCAACCAAGGACGGCTCCACGTCGTTCTACAGCCGCACTCCCGGCAGGACTCCGACTCTTGGTGCGCAGACGCCGACGTACAGAGATACCGGTATCAAGACGCCGATGCATGGCTCTCAAACGCCCATCTACGATATCGGCAACCGTACGCCACATTACGGCTCGGCTACGCCTTCCCATGACGGCAGTCGCACTCCAGCCCATGGCGCTTGGGATCCTACGGCTGCAAATACCCCAGCGCGTACCAACGACTTCGAGTATAATCTTGATGATGGATCGCCAAGCCCAGGATACAACCCTACCACACCATATGGGCAGAGTGGACCATTTACTCCACAAACTCCCGGAACTATGTATGGATCGGATCATACTTACAGCCCGTACCAGCCGAGTCCGAGTCCTTCTGGTTACCCTTCAGGTTATTTGGGTACTCCAAGCCCGGTGGGATATTCTCCTCGTTCGCCGTACAATCCTTCTACGCCGGGCAGTGCTGCGGAGTCTATGCCGGCTGCTGACTGGCACACTACAGAAGTGGAGGTTAGAATACGCGCCTCACACGAGGACGATTCCCTTACGGGTCAGACTGGAATCATTAGGTCTATTTCAGGCGGTATGTGTGCTGTGTACTTGCCGATAGAGGACCGTGTGGTCAATGTGTTGGGAGAGGTGTTGGAACCTGTGGTGCCGCAGAGCGGAGACAAAGTGAAGGTGATCGCAGGAGAAGACCGTGAGGCGGTCGGCCAACTGATCTCTATCGAAAACCAGGAGGGACTCGTCAAGTTTGGCACTGACGATATCAAGATTATGCAGCTCAGGCATCTTTGCAAGATGAGCAATGCTTAATTATAGGTGACAAATAAAATGGGTATATTAGGACAGTGAAGTTGTTTTTCATTTATTTTCTTTGTTGCAATTGATTTTCAACATTTCTTTCATACATAAACCAGAACGTTAAAAATATTACTGTAACGTAATTAAGTGACCGTCATGCAATAAATATTTCATATAAATTATTTTGAAAAAATATACAGTCTACTACTAAAAATGGTTTTTATTCGCTCCTTGCACAATAAGGCCCAGCACCCATTGACGGGACAGCACGACAGGGGAACTGGTGACGAATACTTCACACCTTTATTGTGACCCTAACATTCAATCAATCATTTATTCATTAACACAGTATACATAATTGTGTTTAAACGTCATGTATTTAAAATAACCATACAAATTAATTAAAATACAGAATCAAAGGAATTATTAGAAATTTAAAATAAAATAGTGAATTAACAATAACAAAATGTCAGGACAGAAGCAGAAGTGAACAAAAATTATGATGAGTCAACATGAACAATTTAAAACAATTAAAAAATATAATATTCCACGGAGTAACAGCATTTTTGTAATAAATCTCTTTATCTTTTTTAAAATATTTTTATGTCAGTAATTAACTGAAATTCTAAATAAATTCTAAAATATTATTAAATAATTTAATGGACGTTTTGGGGGCAATACCAGACTATTTTTTTTTAATTCTTTGTTCTAGTCGCCTCTGAATTTGCTCATCATTTGTCTCAAAAGTTTCTTCTCCGCTCATCTCAAATCCAGTCGGCAATACCATGATGTGTATAAGCTTGGTAGAGTGAGTATACCCAAATGAACCAAATCTTTAAAATGTCAGTATGACTCCCATGGAGAATCCGTACCATAGTGCGAATGGCGATTTTTTTCCCAGTAAAAAGTACTATATTGGAAACTATTTCCCCATAGCGCAATGCTATAACGAAATTTTGATTCTATCAAAGCATGATACACCGATTTTAAGCGTGGTTTATTCCAGCGTGACCATAGTCGAATTTGTTGTTGCTGAATTTAAAAGTGAAATTTTACTAGCCAGAAAATTATTTAGTCGGTTCTAGTCGCAAAAAACTAGAATTTTTTCTTAATGTAAAGAAGGAGGCAAACGAGCCGACGAGCCACTTGATGGGTGGTGGTCATCGTCGCCCATGGACATTTGCAACATCAGATGAGCTGCCTATGCGTTGCCAGCCTTTGAGAGCCCTGTAAACACGTTTTTTGAAGAACCCCATGTCATATCGCAAAGAAAACACTTCAGGAGGAAGATCATTCCACATCTTGCAGGTTCGAGGAAGGAACGAACGAGATGCCCGTGTGGTCTTACAATGCCAGGCATCTAAGATGTGGCGATGGACTCTACTCCTTTGGCGGGAGGTGTGATGGTAGAAACGAGACGGTGGCACCAGTTCGTAAAGTTCCTTAGAGCACTCCCCATTATAAAACGGTAGAACACACACAGAGAGCCAACGTCTCTCCGTAAGCTACGGGGCTCCATACCGTCTGTGAGTTTGGGATCATCGATAATACGAGCAGCCCTACGTTGGATAGAGTGAAGTTGATCTAGCTGGTATTTGGGAGCTCCTGCCCAGAGATGCGAGCAATACTCCGTATGAGGCCGTACTTGTGTTTTATATAACAAAAGTCGGTGACCTGAAGAGAAGTACTGCTTCGCTCTATTGAGCACTTCGAGCTTTTTTGAAGCCAACTGGCAAGCCAAACTTGGCTTTGCTCTCCAAATGACTCCGGAACTGGACTTCGCTCGTGATGTCGACTCCAAGTATCCCAATACTCTTTGAGATGGTAAGGGCAGTGTTCTGGAACTTGGCGCTATTACGAATGGGGATTTTTTAGCGGTAAACGTGCACACTTGGGTCTTTACGGGGTTAATTTTACTAAATTATGTTGGCCCCATTCTGAGACCTGCTCCAAAGAAGTCTCGATTTTGAACACAAGTTGCAGTCTGTTTTGTTTCACTTGTTGGTGGGGCATATGTGTGCGACCTGTATAATAGGCATCACCGGTACTGTCATCCGCATACCAATGAATGTTACTAGTTAATAACATATCATTGATATGCAGGATAAACAGAGTTGGTGATAGCACAGATCCTTGCGGAACGCCAGCGTTGATGAGCATGGTGTCCGAGCATAATCCGTCGACAGCGACTTTTATGCTCCGCTCAGACAGGAAGCTGGCGATCCAAGTGCATAGCCCTTTTGGGAGCCCGTAAAATGGTATCTTCAACAGAAGCGACAGAAGTGCCTTGTGCCAGACCCGATCAAAAGCCTTAGCGATGTCTAAGCTCACGGCCATTGCTTCCCCCTTGCTCTCGATGGCAGCTGCCCATTGATGCACGAGATATACAAGAAGATCACCAGCACCACGAACGCGGCGAAAGCCATACTGGCGGTCGTTAATAAGTTGGCGATCCTCGAGGTAATCTAAGAGCTGGTTGTTTACCACACGCTCCATCACCTTGGAGAGCAAGGAGGTTATCGCTATAGGCCGATAGTTGGACGGGTCTGTACTGTCACCCTTCTTGGGTATGGGGTGAACGCAGGCTATCTTCCACGAAGACGAGACTTTACGTGAGTGGTACGAAAACGAGAAGAGGCGCGTTACGACCGGAGTCAACTCGGGAGCGCACGATTTAGTCGATCCTCCGTTCAAAGTTTTAAGGGTGTTTTACTGTTCACGCTGGAATAAGCTTATTCCGGCGGCACCATTTTTGAATCTCGAGAACCACAGCTCCTAGCTTAGATCTGATTGCACCCAGAAAAAGTCGTGAATTAGTCGATTCTAGTCGCGAAATTTTAGAATTAGTCGCTCCTTTGTTTAATAATAAAGCTTAATTTTTCACGCACCTTAGCTGGATTGGATATCGATATCTAGAAATGAAAAGCACCAAATAATGATTTTATTAACATTTATTGAATAAATAATACAAAATTTCTTTAGTTCCAATAATTTCAAACACAAAATCAATCACAAACTGAGTGAAACTCCTACACTGAGACGATAGGATATTCTTACAATTTGTAATTACGATTATACATCGAAAAATATGATGCTACTTATTTAGTAACATTCACAATATTTCACATTAAATACATCAATGGAATTTAACAGTATCAGCAACATACACTATTACAGCATAGGGTTTTAAGTTTCAGACATTAAAAATTGTATTCAGATTTATAATATGGGTTATTTATTTATTACATTAAATTGTATTGAAATGCACGACGAAATGCGCTCTGAATTAATTATGGGTACAATGCTGTACGCTATAATCGGAAATAAGGTAATTTATAATGCTCACGGTTATGTGGTAATAAAACTAATCAACAAATTTTAATCAGACTCAAATTGCCATTGACACCAACAATGTGTCAACATAATTTAAGCATTCTTTTTAAAACAAACACAAATAAAAAACGAACCATTTGGCAATCGATTATGCACTCGCAACACAACACGCTTTCATTGATAATCATCAACTAAAACAAATTCTATTATTGCAAAAATATTACATAAATTATAGCGGCAAATCCCAAAACCCCTAAGTACTACAACGAATAACTTATCTATAGTTTCCCACGTTAGGACATGTACACACGATCGAAAGTATCGGTAAATTAAATTGCATTGTTAATATCTTCGGCTTATTCGATAAATAACGAACTCTCGTTCATGTTGTAATGGCATATCGTGTGCATATGTCCAAGCCACGAAACAATTAAAATTTTTTTGTTACTAGTAGTTTCACGGGCCAGTTCAAAATTGTCTATACATTTCGTATCTACACGATTATTTCTACATTTTATTGACATTAAATTAATTGCACCGCCCAATCACACATTGCATTCGCATACTTTTTGTCTATTTCCCGTCCGCCATCAGATCTATGAATACTTTTTTATTTCGCGTTTTACAATCGCGTGTAACCTACATTTTCCTTGTACAAAACAATACATTCATACATCACCTAACACTCTTAATTTTGCATAAAACACTACAATATTTAGAATTATTTACAAAACTTACAAGAATAGAAACTCGGGAACCGATTACAGTTTCCTATGTGTTCATATTATTATGATTTTTTTAAGTATATTAGTGCTATTACATCGAAATAACAATCGAACATTTAAATAACTTTTTGGCAATTATAATTTTTTACATTCTTTTTTACTATTATAAATATTTACCATGTGATGTGTGCTCGATATACAAATATTTCTATAAAAATTGAGGCCTAATCTTTCAAAAATAATTTACAAGATACGAATCTACACACTAATGTTTACGAAACTGTACAGAGAAATAATAGCAACAGAATAAGCGTAGAATATAAATTAAATTATGTATAAGCCTTAGCAGAGTGCAAACTAAAACTTGGTGCCAGATAGATTCTGACGCTACTATGTACAGACGCTATCGACAAATTTTTCTATATGCCAAAATCGGCGCACGCGACTATCTACTACAGAAATTAGAAACATCAAGAATTGGAACGTTTATATCGATTTATGTACAATGCGTCGCGCGCGTTGCCGATATTCCGAGTTGGCGTGACTCGCCTGTTTAGTACTGTTTGGGTGCGTTTCATGAGGCGTACATGCGTTTGATATCTTCCTTGTAGCGCTCCTGGATGTCTTTCCGCTTGATCTTGAACGCGGCCGTCACTAGGCCCATGTCCGGAGTCCAGACCTCCGTGCATAACTTCACTGCCGCTGGTACTTCGAATTTCTCCAGGCCACCTGTGAGTTAACAAGATTGGTTGAAAATTACGTACGGAAATTCGTATGGGAAAGCAAAAACGTGCCAAGTTGTTTATTATTATGAATACGATTACCTACAAAATATTATTTTTTGTACTTTTTTATATACATTTCATTGGTAGATGAAAATATAGCTGCATGTTACAGACACCTTGTGGCTCTAGAGCACGTGACGTGTTAAAAGATATTCAGGTGTAAGGGCTCACTTAACATCTTCCGTTCTATATTTACTTGGTCAGTAGTAAATATTATTGCTTCAAGCACAGTGTTATTGACTTATAATCTAACATGTATCGATTTCGATGGAAAGTTATACAAATTTCGAGTTTCTTCAAGAGTAGTTTGTATATAATACTTTATGAGGTTTCGGATTCGTAGAGCCTTAAAATACTCACATTTTCTGGCATGATCAGCCAACTCCTTAACCACAGCCTTCTCAATCTCGCTATTGTTGCACAACTGTTCGAAGTCCATGTCAGGAAGGCCGATCCTAGCTGCCAGTTCCGCTAAATGCTGCGGATTTGGCACCAGTAATGCAACTGTGTATGTCTTCGAGCTGTCTCCGTATACGCAGATGTTTTCAACGATTGGGCAAGTTTTAAGCTCAGCTTCAACTTTGCCGAGTGATACGTATTCGCCAGCTTGCAATTTCACCAGGTCCTTCTTGCGGTCTGTAATAAAGGAATTGTTGAAAATATGTTATTTTTAATAAACTATTATATAAGGCAATTAAATCGGGTTGATGTTTCTTTTGTCTATACTACTTACAATTTTCATTTTCGCCAAAAATTATTAGTAGATTCTGCTCTGTTATCTGCTTGTTTTTGATGGTATACGTAATAACTGGATTAGTAAGTGAACTACTAACGCCATCTTGTGAGTGATACAGAAAGGTGCTAAGGGTCATTAGTTGGTGCGATAATGAAGTTTTTTTGTTTATGTTTAACCTCCAAGGGCCTTACCATGAACTCTTATTACGATTCAGTTTAGGACCTGAAATGAATATTTGTGAGACAGCGCTACATGAAGTGTATATCACCATCCCGCTTTTTAATCGTTACGAACCCATACTGAACTGTAATAAGAGTTCATGGTAAGGCCCCAGTAAGCAGGAAAGGCGAGCAAACTTGTAAACCGGCAAGATGACTGTCTGACTGTGTGCCGGCTATAAACATTTGCCATGCCAAGGATTTTTTTTAGATGGCATATACGTTGCCGTATCTTAAGTCTTCTGTGCATGTGATTTGGCTTTTCTTGTCACCAGTTAGGCTGCTAACAGACTGACTGCTTGTTCGCGGGTACCATGGACACATAGACAACAACCACAAATTACACCCAAACTCACGAGTGAAATAAATTAGGCCATACACTTAATTCTCCAGGCCAGGGAATCGAACCCAGGACCTCTGCGTGGCAGTCATAGTAACCGTTCGGCCACGGAGGCAGCAATATAATACTACACTAGGTTTCTATAGTCATTTAATTTAAATACTCTACTACACATTCGGAGGGTAGAATAATTAGATAGAAGAAAGAGTAAGAATTCCGAGTGGTTGTGACAGTGCTGTGTTACTTACCGATGATTTTGATGCACCCGTCGTGGTGCAGCTCGCCGATGTCGCCAGAGCGGAACCATCGTCGTCCTTCCATGTCCACGAACTCCTCGCGTGTCTTCTCTGGGTTCCTGTAGTATCCTTCAGCCACGTTATCGCCGCCGATCACGATTTCACCCTGTAAATGTTGTTTGTTTAGAAAATAAGTCCGATTAACTCGTCTTTAAGACTTAAGCAATTCCCTATACGCAATTGCTATCTATATAAAGAAATCCGTTTCCAAATTTCTTTCTCCGCTAAGTCACTGAGGTCATCGATTTATGAATTTGTGAACATCACAACAAGGCCATGGCTAGTAGGAAAGTCCATTATTGATGGCTAATAGAAGAATGGTATCTATATCTACCGCCTTCTCAAGCAAAGGGCAATGGGTTCGAATCCGGGTTCGCTTGTCTTAAGTTTTTCCTGAACATCGAATACGGTTCTCGAAAATCGTGTGAAGTTCTCGCATTGGGTCAGCATGGCGGGCTATATTATTACGCTAAACCCTCACCTAGGGGGAGATCTGTGCCCAGCAGTGGTACGTATAAATGGGTTGATGATGATGAATAGAAAAGTTATTCACTGTGCCGCTAAGGCATAATAATATTGTTTGCTGAAGCTGGCCCTGTGCTCTCGTTCTCCGTCCGAAACAATTATTGGCAAATAAGTAATACTCGACCAAATTAGAAACCAAATTGGACGTAGTTAAACAAAAAGGATCCAAAGCACATCCAGTCACTTTCGAGATATGGCAGTTTGAAGTTTAAAACTGCTGTCCACTAGTTAAAACGCAGTTGAGTGACAAATGGTCAAAAATTCGTTTTAAATAGCAAAAGACAGAGTACAAAATTCTTGTTTAACAACCATTGACCTACCAATAAATGGATGTCGGGTTCGCGCTAAAAAGTGTCCGCTCCTGTAGAGCGTTAAAATAGCATACAGAGCGTCAATTGCGCAATAGTCTTCGTTTGTTCGAGTGACAGCGCGGTTGTCAATCATGCAGTACAAATAATAATTTGTAAAAATTTCTGCAGTAAAGTATGAAAACAGGATTTTGTATGATATTTTCACCAAACAAATATATTGTGTTATCATAGTTGTCATTTAAAAGTGTTATTTTGTACAGTTTTATAGTATTTAATTTATATATATCTGAATCGTAAATATAAATTACGAAAGCACACGAAATAATGAAATAGCTAACTGTCCTTTTTCTACTCCATTGCATGCGCAAAAGATGGAAAGAGATCCATTACGTCAGTTTCAAGAAGGTTATATAAACTTCTTGGTCATTTTAAATTGTTCGAACCACAAGCGATTGAAATATTTAGAACAAAGAAACTGGAGTTGCTTTGATTTTAATCCTTGTTTGTTGTACTCGTTTTACGGCATGGGATTACCTATCAGAAGTCAGAAAATACATTTGCCCGAAATAACATTAGCTCGAATTTTCATAATGTGTTTTTACGAAGATTACAAAACAAAAGCTATTTTTGTCTATGTAAAAAGCATCAAAATTACTCGAAAGCGTAAAGGTTTTGTTATAAATCGGAATTACGGATATTTGAGTTTACGTTTAGTTTGAATGTCGGTACATTTCTTATAGTACACGCTTATTTTCACATTGTCGTAATAATTGTATGTATGTATCTGCCCAACTCTTTATTATACCTTTAAGTGAATTTGTACAAAATTCGAAATAATAATATATATAAAAAAATTAATTAATATTTACGAGAAAGGCTATTCCATTACTCTTGTATTCAAGTCATTTTCAGTCGAAGCTAAATATGGTGCATTTTGTTAAGTTTCCAGTAGAAGCTGAATATGGTGTTTTTGGGCACTTTTTTTTTTTTTTTTTCATTTATTATCTTATAAATTTTCATACAAAAAAACAATAGGTAATAACTTAGCATAGCAAATCCACTAAGGTTTAATATTATACTAAGAAAACTTAAATTGTTGTAAGCTACTTTAGGCAGTACTGCAATGACGTTACAATTTAAATTAAATGTTTTAGTTTTTTATATTTCGTTACATATCACTACGTTTTGTATAGGTTAACCTCGGACATTTTTTTCGTGGTTTTTGTATTAGACCCGATGTCCATTTGTTGGTAGGTCAATGTTAAAACAGTTAAAATTAGTTAACGTGTTCGACTTATCGGAACTTACCCTAATGATGCATAGCTGAAATATCATTAAACAATACCAATATTTTAAAACGGGATTATGGTTTTTATGATATCTCAAGAAATTATTTTGTCACTGAGCCGCATTTTAGTTAGCGGACGACAGAAAAGTGTTTCTCACTCTTGTTTTATTATCAAAAGTTATAATGTCACGAACTCCAGAGATATTTAATTATGTTTGTATGTTGGCTTTTTTGCTAATCTAAAAGTTAGACTTTAGGAACAGTTTGGTACCATATAACTCATTTTTTGATAATTTTGTGTGGATGGATGGATCCTTTTTGCTTAAAAACATCCAATTAAAAGACGCATGATGCGAATGAAGATTCATACATGACATTGCCTTTTAATTAGGTCGAGTGTTACTTATTTGACAGTAATTGCTTCGGTCGGTTATCGGACGAAGAAGAACAAGAGTAGACACCCTAAAGCAAGGCTCTTCACTATGTTTCGGTAGACAATGGGTCTAGTAGTTTCTTATATACGCTTATAGTCTGCGTAGATTCTAGTAAAGCAATTCTTAGAAACATTAAGAAGTTACTTTTGTCCTAGTATTATACTTGTTAACTTCAATGTTCAAGTAGTAGAAGTTCGCTTAAACAATCAACATGGCCTGGAAGCGTCTAACCAGCATTTTCATTACTGCTTCATGTTTCTAGTAAGTTAGAGAAGTGAACTAACCTGAGGGAAGGGCTTATTACTGACGCGGTAGTTTCCTTCCTCCCAGTTGACCAGTTTGATGTCGGTGCCAGTACAAGGTGCGCCCACGCGGCCCGTCGACCTGAAACAGCACATTTTACATTAATTTATTTCGTATTATAATTGCAATATTTTGAGACTTGGGAAATAGGCTATCTCGCCTTGACGGCCTATCGACCGACGCCATAGTAAAATAAAAGAAGTATGGTAACTCCGTACTCAGTATCAGCGCGGCTTGTATGCATTGAAGAAGCAGAGGTTCTACTAAAAGGCAATATTTGTTAGTAACATACAGAGAATTTGGAAATAAATAGTGAAGTGAGAATATGAAGTGGGCAGAAAGAAACAACAGAACAAAAATCTGGAATATCAAACATATCATACAAAATATTACTTATAATATAGACCAGGGGTGTTTCTAATTAAAAGACTAAATTTGGTGAAATTACAGGCGCATGGGACTTTTCAACTTATCGACTGTAAACTGGCAATCGGTACTATCTAAACCAGATGGTTTATTTAATAAAAATACGTAGTTTTTTGATATTTTTATTACACATGTATGTATGTACATTACGTATTTTTATTTAATAAACCAGATGCTATATAAATGATTCTTTCTTCACCCTATAAAGTTGTCAAAATTGAGATAGTGCCGGTTGGCAGTGCCCTTCAGATCTTTGCGATTTAATGTTCCGAGTGGCACTGCAATTGTTATGGACAGGCATTTCGCTTACCATCAGGCGTACGACTTGTACGTCCCGTCACTTAGTATTATAAAAAAAAAATCAAAGAGGTTTAACAGCATGTGTGCGCGACAACCGTGCGCCATGTACGGACGCTTCTTACGGATTTTATAGGCATTTCTTTTCACAAAAATTAGTTTTATTTTCTTGTGATTTAGGTAAGAAAAATCTAGCAACTTTCGATGCCAATATACCATAATGTTATCTGTAAACATTTAATAACAGAAAAGTGTTTAAATAATTTATAGATACAGGCTTAACTTTGTGGGAATCTATATTAATAAAAATGATAATAAGTTAACTTGCTACTTTTAACATTAGATTCGCGGAGTAGCAAGATTAGGTACTGAAAAAGACTTGACAAGGTGAGACGGGAAAGTTTTTGTACGTGAACGTGAAAACAGTAACAGAGTTGGTAATGCAACAGCACGATTTAAGGTGTAGACAACTTACCGGTCGTGGGGGTCCATGACAGTGGCCGAGGAGGTGGTTTCGGTGAGGCCGTAGCCGGCGACGACGTCGCAGCAAAGGCATACGCGAATCTGTGTGTGCGTGTCGGGTGACAGCGGGGCGCCACCAGCGATCATCAGCCGCAGGCGACCGCCCAACAGCGCCGTTATCTTCGTGAACATCTACAGAACAAACACAAGTTATAGTCTTCCTTTAACCGACTTCAAAAAAAGGAGGTTTTCAATTCGACTATGGTTTTTTTTATGTATGTTACGCAATAACTCCAGCATTTGTGAACCGATTTTGATGATTCTTTTTTGTTGGAAAGAGGGTACCTCATTAGTGGTCCCATTTAAATTTGAAAAAAATATTCCATCTCTAAGGGTGACAAACTATCTATAGATATCTATATATAGATGAGGATGAATCCGGTTTAGCGCACTTTCTGGTAACCGATTTCAATAAAACTTGGCAAATAGATGTAATGCCACAAATTTTTGAGGTCGGTTTTTTAGAACTATGTACGGAGATTATTTTACTCTTTATTATAATTAAGCGCTTTGATCGTTATTGTACATGTCAACCCCATTAGAAAAACAATACCTCAGGAAAACACTTAATAAAATCCAGACAGATAAATCGAAATACTATCCAAACATGCATACAAAATCTTCGCGACACTACGTGTTGGCTCCGACAAAACGGATTGAGACCACCAGCCTGTGCAAATAACCGCGCCTTGATAGGTTCCGTCCGAACACACTCCATGAGCAAATGCTGTTCATCCTCACGAATTCCACACAATTCGGTGGGTTCACCGTCCGCATCAAATATGTCCGCATCGAAGCCTATGCGCGTTGAAAATTTGACCACTGCTTAATTTTACATGGTCTTGTACCAGATTCCTTTTTCCTGGGACCTCATATTGAAATATTCTTTGCAACGAGAATGGAAGTTGCTCTTATAGTTTGCAAACCTCGGGCCCCTCTGAAGCAGCCGCAATGGCTAACCGATTCGCCTCCTCATTCTCTAATCGTAAAGTATGATTCCGTAAATTAAGTTCACAGGGCGTTCAATGGTAGGGCCATTGAACGCCCTACTCCTAATTTACTGTCTTAATTATTCGAGCCGAAATACGGCAGTAATTTTAATTTCCGAACAAATTTGGTGTTACTATTGGGTACAAAGATCGAAAAAACACAAAGAAAAATTCCTTCGATCCGGTTGGATCCTTGAGCGTTAGATACCTCTATCTTGGGTTGGATGTATCCAACCCAAGACTAGCGGTGGGACGAATTGTTGTTTTTTTCCAACTCGAGTTGACTCGTCTCGGTGTCTGACGGAGCAATCGCAAGTCGCGAGTAGAACTCGAACCGGCGATTCATCGAATTGGGCCGACCGCGACTTGAACGTGCTTCGAAGGTCGCCGAGCCGACCGAGTGAGAACGAGTAGCCGATGCGCTGTATGAACGAAGTATTCGGCTCGGCGGGGCGGGAACCGAACCGACCTAGTTCGAGTTCATAAAGAGTTGACTCGTTGTGGGAGTAACTCGAGCTAATCGAGACAAATAACTCGACTCGCCCATCGCTACACAAGACGCCATGAACGCACCACGCTTAAAGAGAATATCGTAAGGAGATTGGCAACCTTTGGAAAACGTGTGACGTTCCCAACCCGCGTGAAATCTCCTAAACTCTAAATCCTCACCTTAAACGCGTCGCATGCTCAACAGTGGAACGTATTATGGGTTGATAATAAAATTTCGATTGCGTATGTTTATATAAACACACCGTTGAATTCTAAATCTAGCATATAAACCTGCTATAGTGCGTTGCATATAAAACATGTAACTTGTATTTGGGTATATAACAGGCTAACTGAGAAGTGATTTAGCACTGAGTTTCTACATTGACATCTCATCGAACTTGGGACGATGGGCGATACCATGAAAACCGGTGTGCAACACTCGACCACAGAGGTCATGTATTTGAATTACTTGCAATTGAAATATGTATACGTAAATAAATATTTTGTAATTCCAATTTCTAATATCTAACGGCATGGATTTTGTAATTGATATTTCAAAGACGTTCGTGGTAATTATTGTATTTTAAACGCACTTCAAGAAAGTATTTTGATATATAAGTTATGACTAGCCTTGATTGTATGATGGATAGGCTATTTAGTGCATCAAAAGCGCATGCAGATAATTACTATTCAACCAACGGCATTGTGATAAAGGATAAAGACAAAGAAAAAGTAAATATATTGTGCGCTCTTGTTTACGTTGTACCTTACACTTTATCAGATAATGAATTATTTGTTTAAAAATAGAAAAGATAACAATGAATCATTAAAAAATTAATTAGACATACTTACAATGCGATTAAGTATGGGCGTATCGTACCCGCGTCGCATCCAGGTCTGCTTGTAGGTGTACGCCCACTTGAAGAACGCATTGGCGAACGCACCGCTGCGGGACACTTTGTCCGTGATGCCTTTGCTGATGCGGTCCATTATCAACTGAAATTATCATTTGTATTAAGTTAAATTTTGAACTGGTGCAATACCATTCCCGTGAGCTTCAAAAATTGAATTCGCTAATTAGCTGTTGAGGTTACAACCAATGATCGAGTTGAAATTGATATTATATATAAATAGAGGGAGCTAATTTACCTAACATATGAACGTTTTCTTAGTATGGACATACCCATTTCGTTATCACCATGTATAAAATCTCTTTTTTTCTATTTATTTTCTAAACATTCCAAAATATAGGTTGTCTCATGTTTATTTTTTAAATGGCTAAAGTATTTAGATACGTAAGTACCTACAGAAACACAAGTACAATGTTGTTTTATGAGACAATATTTTTTATGCCCTTGATGATGGTAAGCTACACGCCTGTCCATAACAGTTGTAGTGCCACTGAGAGATTTAAATCGCAAAGATCTGAGGGGCACTGCCACTGCGCCCATCACCCTGAGACATAAGTTGACAAGTCCCATGTGTTGTAATTTCACCAGCACCCTTACCCTTCAAAACCGGAACACAGTAAAGATGACATTACCGCTTGGTGGCAAAAATAGGTAAGGTGGCAGTACTACACTGGACGAACTCTTTCACAAGGAGCTCTACTGCTATTAATTTGTAGCAAATACTTAATAGAAAATAGTAATTTGTTGCCAATGTACTCCAATTTCAATGAATATGCAATATAATCAGTTCCAAGAAGTCCCAGGATTTGTAGAAGGGAATGTCCACGTTATTCTTTAGTTTAGCTAAATTAATTCCGGTCACTGGTTATAATAAGTGTGTTGGATCTCAAACAGAGATTAGACAGAGTACAAGAGCAATGAAATTCACCGAGGCACTGGGAATCGAACCCAAGACATCATCAAGCGCGTTCAGGGCTTTCCGTTGTGCCGCCAAGATCGTCTTAATTAACTTGTGATCGATTGCGTCACATCTAATATTACCTAAGTAAACCATTACGTAATTATAATTGAATTAGGTATATTTTGGGAAAGCAGAATACTCAGTAAACAAGGCATTATCTTGTCATGTTATAATTATGAAGGTTCGCTTCTTTGGTATTATTTTGTCAAAATTATACTAAGTTAAGATTATTCATATCGATTTATTTACTCGATTTTACTTCATTAGCTATGTAATATTTTGGTCTGGCAAACTTGTATCGCATATGATTGGCTGGTGAATCGAAGGTATCGAGAATAGTGATCGGCAATTGGTTGAGAATAGTGATCGGCAATAGGTTGACGATAAATACAAGTAACCAATCGGGTAAACCGGTGGAGATTTTATGAGAAGATCGCCAGTGATAGTGAAGAGAGTAAGTGGTCAAGTGTACACTTTACCAACAAGTCTCCTTTATACTCGTACCCGATAAAGTCATATTAATTACAGACTACTACCTATTAAAAAGATATTTTTTTACTTATTAAGTTCATCAACAATTGTTGCATCAATTTACGTAGGTCAGAGTATTTTGACAACACGCACAACTAACATTAGCCGAAGCACATTTGAGTGGATAATCTTAATATTTAATGGCGATGAAAAATAGGGATATAATAATATTAATAAAGCACACATTCAACATAGCCCCGCACTAGGGAAACCCTGTATCGCGGGTCCCATGGGTACGGGTACAATCACAAATTACACCCAAACTCACGAGAAATAAATGTAGGCCATACAAATATTTCTCCCGGTCCGGGAATCGAACCTGGGCCGGAAATCGAAACTCTGCGTGACAGCAGGCATAGTAACCGTTCGGCCACAGAGGCAGTTATGACAAAAAACAATACAAATCGAAAAAAAACTGACTTTTATACATCAAGTGACGGGATGAACAAGTGCGCCTGATGGTAAACGACACGCCTGTCCGTAACAGTTGCAGTGCCACTCAAACCTTCAAATTGTATAGATCTGAGGGGCACTGCCACTGCGTCCGTCACCTGAGATATAAGTTAAGTCCTATGTGCCTGTAATTTCCCCAGCATCCTTACCGGCGGCAGAAATACGTAAGGTGGCAGTACTTCCCTGGACGAATTCTTTCACAAGGAGATCTACTGCTACTAAATTATGATAAGAGTCATGCTGCAAACTCACCGGTACGGTAGTGATGCAGGTGGGCCTGAGGGTGGTGGCGTCACCGTTGGTACCACGCATGATCTTGCTCGACGAGTCCAGCATCGTCAGCGGTGTTGAATACCCGATGGGCACGCCTATTATAGATAACATTAAACTCAATCAACTTTTTTTTCCATGTTAAGGAGCGGGGAACATACATTGATTGCTTGATGAAAGAGAATGAATAGCACGTTTATTTATGTGTTTTAGGAATAAGTGTGTATTTCACTTCCATCACACCTGATGGAAAGTAACGGGTGACGAAATATAACGCGTATGCACTGTCGCCTTTGATTGTGCGACATAAAAATCGATTACAATGAAATTTAAATTCAACTTTATGCCCATTAGCGACAAGAAAGATTTAAAGCTCAGGAGTGATCTCTGACCTTTTGGTTTTTGTACCAAATGTCAACGTCATACATCAAACAGTGATGGAGAAATCACAGGTATTCTCTTTTGGTTAATCGCTATAAATGTTAGTAATCTCTTTATTAAATAAATAAAATTATATTTATAAAATTATATATATTATATATAAAAAAAATAAAATTATTATAAATTATCTTCTACTCACCGGCAATGATACAGAGACTCTCAGCCAGCAGTTCAAAGACGTGCGCCAATGGTAGGAAGCCCATCAATACATCGTTCTCGAAGATCGGCGTCGAGTCCGCAAACGCCTAAGGATTAAATAATTTTTATTCATGTGAATTAGATTTTTATTTAGACAACCTTTACAGGAAGTCTCTCGAAAAAAAGAAATACAATAAAAAAAATATTTTAAAACGGCAATGGAGTACTTGTTCCACACAGCCTTAGCTAAAGTATTTTTTAAATTTTAATTTTTTGCTTAAATGAACATAAAATTGTTGATAAAAACAAAAATATTATAGTTACTATTACCTTTTAATTAATGTTTTTATTAAAAAAAAGTAAAAATACCATTAAATTTAATCACAAATTTCCAGCGTAAAATTTTAAACAGTGCTGTTATGTTATTTTTACCAAAAGATTATATTAAAAATTGAGATAGTTGGCACAGGATTGCAAAAACCTGTCCTTATCAGTGGAACACGACAGAGACTATATAAAAAAAATTACCTTAAGCGTAGCAACCATATTCCGATGGCTCAGAATAACCCCTTTAGGTACGCCGGTGGAGCCACTGGTATACATAATGATGGCGGTATCTTTTGGCGAAGGCGGCACATTGTCAATAGAGGAGCCCTTGCCCATCTGCATAACTTCTTTGTAACCGACAATGCGGATGCCTGGCTTGAAGCCTTCGCGATCGGTGGGCTTTAGCTGGTCTTCCATGTATATTATTGTGTCCACCTGTTGGTATCAAAAGAAACATTACATAAATGTGGCGCATGTCAACTATCTAACTAACTTTAAACTTTTAGAAGTTTTAGAGGCCCTTTTGTAAGAGATCGTCCAGGGAAGTACTGAGACCTTACCTATTTCTGCCGCTAAGCAGTAGTGAGAGCATTACTTAGTTTCGGTTTTGAAGAGTAAGGGTGATGGTGAAATTATATGCACATCAGATTTGTCAACTTATGTCTCAGAGTGGCAGTGCCCATCAGATCTTTACTATTCAAAACTCACTCAGAAGTGGCGCTGCAATTGCTATGGATGAGCGTTCCTCCCGTCACTTGGTAACATAAAAAAAAAAATAGACAATTTCCCATTGACTTACAATTATATTTAGGGTCCGCGCTAAAAAGTGTCCTAACTTATAGGGCGTTAAAATCGTATACAGAGCGTCATTCACGCATTAGTCTTCGTTTGTTCGACTGACAGCGAAGCAAGCAAAATTAGACAGTACTGCGATGACATTACAATTTAAATTCAACGTTTTAGCTTTTTCATATTCCTTCACATGTCACTACGTTTAAATAGGTTGACTTGGGACATTTTTTTTCGTGGTTTTTGTATTAGACCCGTCGTCCATTTATTTGTAAGTCAATGCAATTTCCCTATTTTTTATCTATTTTTTATACGTGTCAGTAAAATGATTCCACTCCACGTGATGGAAACTCAATCCAAACATGAAGGAACCTAGTGCAGTGTTGATGCAATCACTGCCCTAGCCACTTCCATCCTGTATGCCTACAAGATGCCTCTATATGGTATGATGAGCGTTATACAAGAGAGTTATTCAAATTGTCCAAACACTTTGTTGAAAAATGAACCACACGTAGGTACTTTTACATAAACCAGCTTAACCCAGTTTATTAAAAATACATTTCAAATATGTGGCCGCCAGTTTCAAGATTCGTACCTGAGAGATGACCTCATGTAAACATTCAAACCGATTCACACACAATCAAGTTAATAAAATGCATAATATCAAGTAGTACCTTGGGCGTCTTGACGAGGATCTTGCGGAACTTGGGCAACAGATCGTGTGTGGTGATAACGGTGGAGACCTCGGTTTCATTGATACCATGTGCGATAGCATCATCGCCCAGGGTTGCGTAGATTGTCACCACTGGAACAACGATTAAAGTGTTTTAAAAGGTAAGGCTTTAGGTAGCGCACGAATATAATGCCCTGTGAACATACAAATCGCGTAAAAAACCTAAAAAAAAAACTATAAAAAATCTTTTAAATCAATACAATATACCTGAAAGGGGTAAATCATTGGATAAGAAAGGATAACAAACAAAGATAGACATGCTGTCCTATGTAGAAAAGGTCTGAGCGTAGACACAGCACTCCGAAAGAGGGAATGATGTATGATAATGGTTATTGCAAACTAAAAAAAAGGACTGGAGGGAATGGCGTTCAAATGACAGGAGTCAAGACCCAGCTGAGTGATTGTAGGTTGAAACGCGTAGACCTTAACCACGACAACGAAGACTTATGAAAGTGTATAGTGAAGGAAAGCCTTGAGCAGGTATAGATCTCCAAAGGCAGCACAATAATCCGCCCCTATAACCAAAAGGGTAGGTGTAGAGTTAGTGTACTAACCAGGAATGCTCTGCTTGAAGCACCCGTGTGCTGCGATCATCCACTCTGCGCGTGTCTCGGCGAACATGACCACGTTCTTAACCGGCTGGCAGCCCAGCTCCCTTAGCCCGGCCCCGAAATGCTTCGCCTCACGCTCCATCTCTGTGTATGTGCGCCATTCGTAGTTGCCCATCTTGAACTGTCAAAAATAAATAACAAATTGAACACGATATATACATACCCGTAAGTGTTACTACAATGAAGACAGGTCTTTCGTTATCAGCAACAGTGTAAATAGCATTTCCTTTATCTGAATTGTCTGAGCTTGGTCTAACATATTGTAGTAGTCTTCATTTCTTGGCCCATACAATGCTAATGTTTATAAGAATAATTAACTCAAGTGGATGGGCTTGTTCTAGTATTGTCTCGTAAAGGTTAAAAAGTGTCATAAATAATCAAATCTCTGGAACATGACATACCTTTTTGAAGATCCGTCCATTGGGTTGTGGTTCATCTTCCTCTCCAAGAAGCTGACGGGTTCCGAGGCAGGGTTTGTTGACCCATCGCGCAGCAGCGGCGCGGAGCATGCTCTCCATTGTGGTGACGCCATCGCGCACGAGGCGTGTGTGTAACTCGCAAGGTGAGCTTACTGAGCGCACCGTTATGCTGTTGGATGTTGACTCTATTATGGTAGCCTGGAAAGAAAACAATATTGTCTCTCTCTTGTTATTTTCAGAAACTCGCGACGTTTATTGTAAACACAAATAACAAATCTTGACATTCACAGATCCAAAACGAAACAAGGCAAACAACAAGAAAACCGTCATAATGTTTGTCAATGTATGTCACCATACGCGGCACCAATCCTCCAAGTTGCTGTATAGTGATGATCAGTGAGCTAACCTTTATGCGTCGTGAGAGCGCGCGCTTTCGCCAGGGCTTCTGCAGAACGAGGTGTATGGGAAAGGTGAGAATGTCAAACACCAACGTCACTGCACGGATCGCCTTGAGCGCGATCGACACCCACCATGACGCCGGCCTGCAACAACATACATTAGAACTGATCAATATCAAAATGGGCAAATTGAACATTAAATTAAAAATTAGTTAAACATTACTACTGATTTACGGGATAAATTTTCTAGAGAATAACCGATAAGAGAGTCTAGGGGTTGCTGAGAGATAAGTTCACATATTTTTATTCATAAGTAAAGGAACCATGGATTTTAGTCATACAAATAAACAGGAATTGTATCCTTTACGTTTTGCTAAAGCGTAACGTTAAAGCAAACTGTGACTTAGGAATGCTAAGCTAAAATCCAGATCCGGCGGAATGTACGCTTTCAAATACAACTGTTAATTCAAGCTACAAAATTATGTCTCCGAGCTAGGTTGTACAATTTTTATAGCGCAGCGTACACTTCAAATGGTCATAAAATTGTGTTTTTATTGTGTGACATTTCAATCATCTCAGCGCTTTAGGTAGCGTCAGGGAGTAATGTTCGGTTACTCTCTGTCTCTCTGGCCTCTCACGTGATAAATCAACAAAGAGAAAAAGAGCGGGGCAAATATAATGATTCTTTTTCTCATCGTGAAATGTCCTAACAAATTATGTAAGCTTTCTACAAAGTGTTTAAGGGTCGTATTCTAGAACTTTACTCAATGCTCAAGTCAGGGTTTGAGTACGGTTTAAAGCACTCGAAATCATACTGTGACTTAAGTAGCGCTAGTATTACACAGCATTTGAACATGTACAACCGCGACTTTAAAACGGTAACAATACAAATAAGTCTATCGATGTTTATGATAACCCATCGAGTTCTACTTATAATTGATGACTGGCAATTGTCAAGCTACATCAAGTCTAAGAAGATCTCTATGTTTTAATGTTTAAAAAGTAAAATGTGTCTCTAAACACGCGATAAGTATAAATGATCAAAACACGTTAAGAAAAACAGCAGTTCTCTACGAAGCGACATTGAGTTAAATCTTAACTTAATGAACAAGAATCAAATAATAATTAATTTAAAAATAACACCACCACCAGTTCTAGTATGATATACCCCTCTGGCCCCATTCGACCATAGCTACTCTTACATTATGATCAAAGATAGAAATAGGCTACCTTAACTTCTTAACTTAACTTAACCTTAACTTTTACATTGAATCGATCACAATAGGAATAGGTACACTGTTTCAAGGCACACAGTGAAGTTGAACAGTGGAATTGTAAGTATAAAAGTAGAAAGTCGAGTCTTGATGCTTTTCATTCTGACTGTCAGAATGTTTATGTGTAATGCACTAATTCTTAAAATAACATCGTGCTTAACTCATCGTGTAGCGGTAAGTATCAAGACCCACGTGCAGAATACTTATGGAGTTGGGTCAACGACCGGTTGTTTTCATGCGTTAGAAAATAATTCGACCATAATAGCGTGGTCTCTGATGGTTAAACATGGCGGAGTACTTTCGGCCTAAAAGTGATATTACTTCTATCTATCCACATATTTTTCTTTCTAACAAGAAACCGGCTTTTTTTTTCTAACTAGAATTTCGTTTGCATCGGATTTCGATTTTTTCTATTGTTCTTCATCTTCGATAACTTAGTTTGCAATATTAATGTAGGTGAACTGCTAAGTACGAGAATCTTCTAGGACAAAAAGTTTTAAATCGCAAAGATCTGAGGGGCACTGCCACTGCGCCCAACACCCAGAGACATAAGTTGACAAGTCCCATATCCCTGTAATTTCACCAGCACTCTTACCCTTCAAAACCGGAACACAGTAATGGTGACATTACTGCTTGGCGGCAGACATAGGTAAGGTGGCAGTACTTCCCTGGACGAAATCTTTCATTGAGATCTCAACTTCCACTAAATATCTCCACCACGCATTTGAAATGAGATTTAAGTAACTTTAAGGGTCGTATTCTAGAACTCTACTCAATGCTCAAGTCAGGATTTGAGTATGGTTTAAAGTACTCGAAATCATACTCAAGTCCCTGCCATTAGGGTCGTATTTCCAGTGCAATCCTGACTTGAGCATTGAGTAGAGTTCTAGAATACGACCCTAAGAAGTTTAAATATAAGTAGAGAAAGCACACATTGGAAGCGGGCCTGTGGAGCGTCAATCCAAATTGTGTCTCAATCGAGTGTATTTTATACAAGGCAGGTTATCCCTTAAAATTTCCCTGCAGCCTTTACTTTAAAATTCTTTTTTTCTAATAAAAAATAAGAGCGCATTCTCACCTAACGGAAAGTGACGATGAGGTCGAGCGACGATGTAACATGCACACCTAAATAATGCCAATTCACTCTCGCCTTGAAAAGGTCCATGTTACAGCGTTTGGGGAATAACAGTCTGCAGGCATGGAATTCTCCTTCGAATCACATGTTCCGCCACTGTGGTTATGTTTATGCTGTATGGGTACATTGAACTACACGAGCAAATTATTAATGCAAATAGGATTTGGTAGATAAATTTGTTTGTCATTTTGTTGGTTGAGGATAATGACCTTATTATATTACTTATAAAAGTTTTATTAAAACCATCGCCTCAATTCGCGTGGCCCCTTCGTCGCTATCGTCTTTTGTTTCGTAAGTAGGTATTTGCCTTTTGTGGCGCTATTGAATAGACTACTTAATAGATCGATAAGTATGATTTTACCAAGTGTAAAAACTCTGTCATTTGGACGAAAATAATAATAATAATAATAATAAACACTTATCAAAGACTTGGCTGTATGGTCTTAAGCCACTGCCCTTTTTGCATTGTAAAAAAGAAAAAAAAAACACTCCATGCATTTTAAAAAGAATCGATATCAAAATAATCGATATTAGTAGGTAATTGGATTTCCTTATCGGCACTCCGTTTTCCAATCACGAACAATGCACGTTTATGGAGTAAAGTTATTGGTGCCTAATAAGTAATAAGATGAATAGTAAAGTGTATGTAACATAGTATTACCGAATTCTGTCTAACAAACTTTTAAGACAAAAAACATAGTAGATACTTGAAGGCACTAGATTTAAATTACATTCTGAGTATTAGTGCATATGTCATTATAGGAGGTATTTTTAACTTTTTGATCTTGTGCGAGTAGTAAAATTTAATTTTCGGACATTTTTTCGCGGGAAATTGTTATATCTTTACAGTGGCCACTTTGAAACTTTGAGTACAAAACTTTTTCGTACTTCGGGACAGGGTAAGACGTCTAAGCTATACTGCCATTGAAAGTTTTATCTCATGTGTTTTTTTTTCAAAACGGTGTAAATGACGTTTGCAGTAGGGCTAGCAGGACAGGGTAGTAATTAATTTTCTTGTAATTTATTGTTTGTTGTATAAAAATTATATGTAATTCCACGTACCTACTTTTGATGTCGGTTTTTTAGAACTCTGTACTGAGATCTTAAATAATCATGATTTGGAATAATCCTTAGAAGACAAATTTTTTTCAAAATCTTTAACCAGTGCTCGATGTTGTTTCTACACTTTATGGGGTAAAACCTCAAATTGGAGTTGAAGTGTAAGCGCTAAAAACAACTTTTCAAATAGAAGGGCCCAAGGTTGCATGTCCAGATAAACCTGATTGATAAATTGGCCTAAATTTTTAGTAAATAAGTAAACATTTTGATAACATGTTTAGGCACATTAGTGTTCACCATACCACGCTTGGGTTAGTTAACTACATCGTGTATATTGTGTATACACAATTAAACGCAGTTTGCTGCCTATGTTTTGAACTTAGTCCTTACGTGGCACATAATACGACAATTATTTATAAGATAATTTGGGACGCTCAGTATATCAATCAATCAAATCAAATCTAGAGAACACTTTAAAACCGTGAACCCGGCTGATGTCAATTGTAACTCGTTGAATAACAATTATATGTGACTGGGAGTCTTCTGAATTCAGGCGGGTAGTAGCGTTGGCGTCGCGCATGCGTCCTTGGTCGGGTCACGGCCATGGCTCATGATCGCCGTATCAACAGATGCACTGCCCCTCCGCGCGCGTCCCGCACTGCCCTGTGCGTCCTGACACTGACCTATCTTTTTGGTTAAGATAAATTCACTGTCCGGTCATGAGTACGATAACTATTGTGTACGATAACTTACGTATTTTGTGTGCAGTAGAAAAAGAGATGATCGAAATGATTGTATCGAATAGTTTCGCTCTTTTAGTTAAAAAATTACGCCATTGATCTACGAAGTTGTTTTTCCTAGACATGTTACGGTAAGCGGTGTTATCTCGGACAAGGCTATCGAGATTTTCTTATAAACGTAACACTTCAAATAGGAGAATTCTAGTTGAAGGATATTTAATTACGCCTTATTAAAAGGTTAGTTCCTTTTAGTACGTCAGGTTGCATGCACCGAACTAATATAGATTTGACCGGAAAAATGCTTATCGTTTATGATAATTTTTATAACGATTATCTTATGTTTAAGAGTTATCATATACCAAGAACTATTTACTTGTAAGTCATGAATGAACCAAAGAGGCATATTACGACCCCAGTCTATGGCATTGTGCAGTAAAAAATAATATTTCGAAAGGCGATTCTCCTCTCGAGAACAGTTAAGAGTGAATCATCGTGTCCGTCAATTGAAATTTGCATACAAGCTTATTCAGCGAAATGAGTTCGAAGTTAATGGTAACAGCTGTTGGATTTCTATAGCGATTTGCTTCCAGCAGCATGCTCGATACGACACTTGTCGTTTGCCAGCTGAGTCCCCTTGAGTCCTTGATCCCGGCCGATTGGAGAGGAATATTGCTTCTTCAATTTAAAATTCGAAATTTATTTTAGGCCCATGGAGGAGATGATAATCTATATATTTCAAATAATAATTTATTTCTAATCCATTGTGATCCATTGATCTTAATGTGATCCATTGATCTTAAAATAGATCCATATAAAAGCTTAATTAACTCCCAATGTGTTAGACCATTGCGACTATTGAGAGCGGAACCTATAATAAGGTGAAGTCTTTGTAGGGTACCCACTCTGTGTTTAAATACATATTGTCAGTATCTATAA